TTGATAAAACAAGTAAAAATTATAATTGATCACTAAACACAAAATAACATTCACAACATTTGGATTTTTAACAACTTGATTTTTACTATGTTATTGATTATAGACTCTTTTATTACATTGTTATAAAAGTGGTGGTTATACTAATTATTTTTTAAAGAATTAATCATTCTTTCAAAAACAAACAAAACTAATTTAAACATAATATTTTGGAAATTACACATTTTTCATAATTTATTGATTTGGTGTATAGTTGGAAGGAGATCAGGTGGTAAAAGAGGCTAGAATCAGAGAAGCTAATCATCAAGTAACATTAGCAGGCGAGAAATTGAAAACTACATCTAAAAATATGTCTAAAAATTACGAAGAATCTTTGTAAGTGCACAATAAAATAAAGTTTTTATTTACTGAAATTAATTAATAAACATATTTTTAATTAATTCTAAAATACCATATTTAGTATACAATTTTATATAATGAACTATAAAACGTAATTTATTTTATTTAGAGATAAAGATAAAAAAGAAGAATTAATGCCTTGGCAAAAAACAAAGTTACTTAAAGCACGGGGTGGGGATCAAAGTCAACAAATACCTGATCCTTCCGAATCTTCGGTGCACGGAAAAGAAATTCACGTAGCAAAACAACAACAAACACAAAAAGAAGTGAGTAGAAATTAAAGAATTAAGATTAACTTTCGAATATTTATTTATATTTATCACGCAGATACAAGGTGATAAAGAAATACGCAGAAAAATTACTGCTACAGAGACAACTGAAGTAGAACACACACAAAAAAACCAAGAAAGGGTAGTCCAAGGAAAAGTTGTAAGAAAATAACCATTAATGATAATATGAATATTTTATATACGTTATTATTTTTTTTTCAAGGAACCGTCCAAACCACCAATATTTACAACTAAAATTCAACCCTGTCGTGCATTCGAACAGGATCAAGCGCGGTTTGAAGTCGAATTCGATGGCGAACCAATACCCACGATTAAATGGTACAGAGAAGACTTTTTAATACAAAATTCACCTGACTTTCAAATACACACGTTTAGTACAAAGTCCATACTAGTTATTAGACAAGTAATAATTTATATTATTCAATACACAAACGGGACAAATTGATCTGAATATTATATAATATTATTTTGGTTTTAAGGTTTTTATGGAAGATTCTGGTGTGTTTGCCGTCATCGCGGAGAATAGAGGCGGCAAAGCAAAATGCAGTGCCAATCTACTTGTCGAAGAACGTAAACAAGTCGGTAGGAAAGGACCCGGTCCACCGAGTTTCCTTACTACAATGCAAGCAGCGGTCGTGAAAGCCGGCCAACTAGTCAGGTTTGACGTTAAAATCAGCGCTAATAAGCCACTGGATGTATATTGGTTAAAGGTATGTAATTAAAATACGGTAGTTCTCACAAAATGTATGTTTTTAAAAACGATTTCAAAATTATTCTAATATAGAACGGAAAGAAAATCACCCAGGACATTCGTTACAAAACAGTGGACGAAGACAACCAATACACGCTCTTGATTATCGAGTCAGTTACCGAAGACAGCGGAACCTATGAGTGTGTGGCCATCAACAATTCTGGCGAAGCAAGGTGTGAAGCTCCGTTGGTAGTCCAACCCTTGGAACAGAAGGATAAGCCCAAATCAAAACCCAGTGGTAAAGAACAGGCACCAACAATCACTCAGCCGTTATCCGGACAAGTGATTCATGAGGGACAACCCGTGACGTTCAGCTGTAAGATATCTGGACAACCTCGTAAGTCACACAAAAAAAATTAAAAGGTGATAACTTTGTATTCATATTGTTTTTTTTTTTAATTATCACAGCAATATCAGTAAAATGGCAAAAAGGCGATAAAGTGATTAAACCTTCAAAATATTTCCGAATGACGCAAGACGGGGAAACGGTATCACTTCATATATCCGAAGTGTTCCCAGAGGACGAAGGCACGTATAAGTGTCTAGTGTCGAATGCTGGTGGCCAGGCTGTACTGTCAGCTAATTTGAAAGTCATTGGTTAGTCGTGAAATTTTTTTCCATGTGAACAATATTTAATGTATCATATAATAATGTTTCAGTGCCCGAAAATCAAGACGTAGCTCCAACTTTGAGCCCAATGAGAGACGTTATCGTCCCAGAAGGTAATTCGGCTCAGTTCCGCACTCAAGTGTCGGGTCAACCGTCACCGTCTGTACAATGGTTCAGAGAAGGAACACTTATTCCCGAAACGCCAGATTTTAAGGTGAGTTGTAATTTGTATATCTATAATTCGAATGACATATCTAATATATGAGTATAAGATATAAAATTAAAATATAAATATGGGTTCGTAATTTTTCCGAAGTACTACTTACATCTGACCTAACTACAATTATTCCAAGCCTATGAATATAGTTTTAGATTTTGAGTGGTCTAACTTATTGTAATTATTATTTTACAATGGTAATAGGTATATACTTTTTTAGTCGTAGCACTTTTTATGGTAGAAAAATGTTTCGAACTTTATTTTGAGGGTTGTCTATGGTAGAAAATCTGAATCTGGATCGGGTTGGTTCTTTTTTTAATCCCCCCAAACAAAATTACAAAACTCTCAATACTTCTAGAAAGATGGGGGGTTGGAAAGAACTGAATTTTTTACTCAAATTCAATTTTTGATTAAATCGATTTTAATTTTTTGTCGCTAATCAAAAATTAATAATAGTACACTTTAACGAATATATATATATGTATATATTAGTATTTTTTAGACTATAATAATTAAATCTTATTTTGGTTCTTTTTATGTGCTATGTACCTGTAGATATTCTAATATCATGTTTGCTTTTATTGTTTTTTTTTCATTCCTGATTTCCAAAGTTATTTTTTTAAGTGATTATTACTATCTTTGCTCAATTTCTAATCTATAAGTATTATGTATTATGTCATATGAAAACATTTGATTTTTCCATGTACAGGGTGTACCAAGCATGCTAGCCTCCATTTTCTCTTTTAATAATGAAATTATTAAAATTGTGGTTTTTGGAATTTTTAAAGATACTAAAAGACCACTTTTTACCTGAAGTGTGTCTCGTAGTGACACAAACCTCTACTTTTCAAATAAGACCCTCCCCCCTTTTCAACAGTAAATTATTTTTTGCCGGAAATTTTTCTGAAAATATTGATATAACAAAATTGGAACAGTAACTTTTGAGTGATTCAACTTAGTGTACAGGGAAATAGGTCAACAATTATAGGTTTAGAAGATATGGGTCTTTCTTGATTTAAACATTTTGGTGATTTAGGGGATACCTACCGTAATTATCTGTATTTATTGAACACATGCACAGGATTTTAGACGTGTTTTTTGTTAATAGCTTGGTAAAGTGAAGCGATAATGTACTCTGAAAATAGTTTTGAATTTGTCGTCAGGTCTACTTGAGATCGACTTTCCCAAATTTTTGACTTTTTGATTTTAACTTCTCCAAAAATTGAAGTATGACAATTTTTTAATACACTGTTTTTGAGCATTTTTTTTTTTTTTGGGGGGGGGGGGATAATATCAAAAAAGTGGAAAAGTCGATCTCAAGTAATCTTGACGCCAAATTGAAATCTGTTTTTAGAATTTTTATTGTTTCATCAAATAAATTGGTACATTTTGCAAAAAACCCGTCTAAAATCCTGTTACGCGTGTGTTAGACAAATACAGAAAATGACGGTATTGAATACCCTTAATATTAATCTATCAACATTAATAATTTGTAAAAATGATCCTAGTATAATAAATATTAGATCCAATATTACATCAGTTTTGATAACCTTCGAATAAACATTTTAGTAACTGAGAAACTACTTGTTAGAATTTTGAAATATGTAGATACATCAACATTTTCAATAAAAAGTAATCCACTAAATAATTTACTGTAAAAAAAGAGGAAGGGGGTTCACATTTGAAAAACAGAAGTTTGTATCACCACAGAATACAAAATAGTTCTAGAATTTGAAAAAAATGGTCTTCAACATTTTTAAAAAATCCAAAAATCCGGACTTGAATGATTGAATGAGGTAAAAATGGTAAAAATGAGTGCCGCATGCTTGGTGAATCATCTTGTATATCTTAATAATTGTTTATAAAAGTTAAATAAATTAGTTTTGCACCCAAATTAACTTATCTCAACTCAAAAACACAATTTATTGTAAAACTTATGTTTACTTCGTTCCACTCAGAATCTGAAGTATAAAAGAGTATAAAGAGAAAAAATAATTACTCTAGTTAGTTTTATACAAAAGTGTTTTCCGTAATTAAAAAACGTATTTATTGTAAAACCAAACATACCTCCGTCATAATCTAAAATAGTTTAAAAATAAATGTATACATTAAGCACCTACATACCTATAGGTACAATGTAATAATTAATAATTAGCAACTTAATAAAACGTATATTTAGAACAGCACTAGTCGTCTGATCTGACATGTTTATAATGTATGAAATTATCATCTATAATTGTTAAACAAATTTTAATTTTAATAAATGGTTATTCATTATTATATGACGATTATCAGGTTAGGTATTTAGTTTCTTAATTTAGTAAATATTATATTTCGTGTTTGAATTTATGAACATTTTCTATGCACGATTACAGATGATGTACGAAGGTAACATGGCCGTTCTATTGATAACATCTACATACGAAGAAGATTCTGGTGTATTCACTTGCCGTGCCACAAATAGCGCTGGACAAGTAGAGACCTCGGCCAAACTTACGGTGAAAAGTAAGAAATAATCACGATTACGTATAATCATATAATCAAATATATATTTGTACAGTATATATATATTTATAATACATGATGTATCATAACATATATATACTGTGTCGGTTAATAGAATTAAAATATTATCGTTAAGTCACATATGGAAATGCTACCTGTGCTTTCAAATATTAATTTAAGAACCACGAATTTTCCTGAGGGAAAAATATGCTTAGGTTTTATTTGTTTCTTCTCTCTCCCTCTCTCTTTTTTAGTCAATCCTTCAAGGTTGAGTGCTATTTATCATTTTAATAATGCCGATACTGAAAATGATAATCTATAAAGCTTAGTGTTTAGGCTTTGTTTTAACCCATGAATACTTATCAAGTGCCATACAATTATACGAATTATTTCTTATTATTTATTTATTAGAATTAATTTTAAGTGTGCTACAAGAATTTTGTCTTATTTATTAAAATGGCTTTCGCGGCTATAATTATTGTTATCAAAATGTATTTTTCATTTTTAACTTGATTTTTATTTTGTTTTTATATAATCATATTATATTTATTAAATTATTTAAGCTGGTGCGATTATATAATAAATTGTATTAACAAATATTACATTATTATGTTTAATAAACGTTTATTGAATGCAAGTACTTATGTATCCTGTAATTTAGCCAATAAGTAGTATTAATAGAACATAAGCCATCGGTTGCAAAACTTAAATAAGAAACTAAATGGACAATATTTCCTTTTTGCTGATTTGCGAAACGTTCGAGGTACCTAATTACGATTTGACGTCGGATTTTTATTTCTTAGTAATTAATGTATGATCCTAGTAACAGATTTGCAACCGAAAAGTACGTCCGTAAACACGACGATGTCGAGTTAGAATTTAAAATTATGTCACAAAACAGAATATGTCAGTACTGTAGGATTTATCTGTGGATATGCCTCATGTCAAAAAATATTGCAGTAAGACTCATGTTTTAACCATTAAATTGACAGAAAAAATACAAATCAAAAGGCACCATTGAAATAGTTCAAACAAAATCAGTGTGTTGTAATGAACGATACCGCCGATCCAGCGTGAGCGGTTCAAGTTTTTTTGTTTTAATTTCTTTTGTAGAATAAAATTATTCTGCCCTACACCAACGATTTCGCTTCACTGTGTTAACGATGCAAAAATGTTAATGACTAAAGAGCCAAAAAAAAAACTTGAACTTGGGTTAAAATGCCGGGAAACGTTGAACCGCAGACTGAATAACTAATCGTAGTAAGCACCACCACCCCGGCAATAATAATATTAGTAATAATCGAGAAGATTGAATACCAATATGGCAACAAATGAATCTGTTGTTCCTCTCGCGCCGCGGCCCTTCGGAAGTTGTTCAACCGATTGCCACCTTGGCCGTGTCTAGGAAGATTTCCTTTTTTGCCACTGTTCGTATTATTTTGCACTCGACGATTCTGCGAATCGGTGTGTATATTTAAATATGAAAGCAATGCCATTTAATTATCGGGGCCATAATTTAACTGCAGTTGTTGTATGCAATGTTTGTGTTCACGGTAATCCGCCAAGGGGGAAATGTGTAAGGACCAGAAACGTCTGTGTGGGAGTATAGCTAACAGGAACGGTGAGCGACAGAGAGAGAGAGAGAGAAAGAGAGGGAGAGAGAGAGAGAGAGAGAGTGAGGGAGGGAGGGGGAGATATGGATAGATAACGAGACAGAGAGAGATAGACACACCGACAGATCTTGACAGGGACGTTGGGAGAAAGATAGAGGGAGATAGAAGTAATACAGTATTATTGTTAAGGCAATCTATTTTTGAACTAACTGACTGGTGGTGCTTGGTACTGCCTTGTGACGTGCGCACAACCCTCGGCGAGTCACTATTTATGGAAATTCTTCGGTGTGTGTGTTTAAACATTACACACACATGCGCGTGGACAGAATAAACTCATACACGGCGGTGGCACTTTTTTACCAAGGGAAAATTTTTTAACTCACGTTTTTGTACCTAATCACACGGCCGTTTATAATTAAAACTCACAACATTGTGTTGATTATACACTTGGCACGCGTCAGTCTTTTGGCGATTCTAATTGATTGTCGTAACGACGGCCGTGTGACATCTGTGCACAGCGATGAATCGCAGGATAAGCGTCAAGAGAGAAAAAAAAAATGATTTATGACCCTGAAAAGAGAGTGAAAAAAAATCCGGCAACGAATCCTCAAGGCCCCGCCTGTATACATACATCTGCAGATGCTGGAGACGCTCCGAATCGAACTGCCACCGCCTCCGTCATCATTGCTGCCGCCACTGCTACTGCCACCGCTGCTTAAAGACTGTTTAGAAAAATATCATGAGATGGAATAAACTTTTGCAATCAATAAGACAACAAGCGATCATTATCATCGGAAAAATCATAAAATACAAACGATGTGTGGCTTTATTTTTGGAAAAAAGATTAAAATATTAATTAGAAAAAAAAACAATATAGTTATTTTATGTGTATACAACTATATGATTTGTATAAATATAGAATTAGAATACAATATTATATTATTATTGTACAATAGTAAATCGCCGAAACGTTCTTGGCTGCCAAACGATGATGTAGTCGTCCGCGAACTGGTCGAACACAGCGGATCCGCTGCGAGTCTGTAACAAACAAAACCAACGATGGACTATAGTGAAAAACTAGTTTTGCAACACGGCCTCGGCCGTTTTGTAACATGATAATAATATTTGTATTGCTTCAACGCGCGACGTCGCAGTTAGGGCTTACGGCGTCCGCGATCACCTTTCGCCCGAGATAAATGTTATTTATCATCGTCCAAGTTACGATAATTGCGGTCTTATATGGTCATATTGTCATACCTATACGCCACGGCGACGTGTGTCGTCCCGTCATGGTATTATTTTTAGCCAGGCGGGTCGTGTCGTTACCTGGCGTGATACCTAGGTACGTGTAATCGGGTCATGCAGACCTACAGACGCGTTCCGGAAAAATCGGGATTCCCAGCTCCACCGCCACCGCCGAAGATTACGCGGTTTGCCAAAAAGCCGCAAACATTGAAATTCGTTTAAAAATAGCCATTTTTCACAGTCGTCTAACGCATTACACATGAAACCGGCAAAAAAATTATACGAGCGTCCGTGACTTACACGACTGTCGCAAGTTTTCACACAAAGCTCGTTGATTACCTGACCGTAAAATTTATTTGATTTAATTGGTACGTTTCGCCGTGCGTGACTAATGCGAATCTAATGCGAATCTTTGCGTAGTCACGGTTGCATTACCTAGCTACCTCGAAACGTTTCTGTTTTTGATTTATTAATAAACATGATGTTCGTTTTTTTTTATTGAACATATATTATAATATTGTTGTTTTTTTATCGTGGTTATTACCTACTTATAATGTACATCTAGAACAGATTATTTAAGACCTGAAGTTGAGAAGTTTAGTTTTAAGTTTATGTGTTAGACATTTATATTGTATGAGTCAGTATGAAAACTACGTCTACATCTATGTATATTGTAATTGTATGGCCTCGATAATCCCGATTATACTCACAGAACACAACATTGTGTATAGATATAAATATATATGAGTATACATATTATAAATAATACGAGGAGCCAAGTACAGAACCGCGCGTTAGATCATTGTTGTTTATTTATGCTTTTTACAAATAAAAGGAATCACATTTTTGTTTAACTATTTTATTTATACAATTCAAAGTTACATAGAATGCTCCAATTGTAGTGTGTTTAAAAAATATGATCTAATCGTATCTCATTGCAGTGAGGGTTTGCGTTTTCTGTATACCTAATTGTTATTAGAATATTTTGAAATCTTACTTTTTATTACCTATTAACAATCATTGATTACAGAAAAATAAGCTTTTTGAATTGAGTATTTTTGAAATGTATTTCAATTGAAATTATTATTTTTTTTGTAAGTCTAGGTACATCATTGTTTATTTATTATAATATTTTTCTAACTGTATTTAAATTCTACAAGTATTTGTCTGTTTTTTCTGTATATTGTACTGCATCATTTAATTATGATACTAATTTTTAGTCATGTTATCTATGCCCATCTGCATATTTTTTAATAATGAAAGTTAAATGATAAAATTCATATAACATACAGAATACAGATGTACAAGTGCAAACAAGTTGTTAATTACACTAGGTTAAATTAGTTAGTTTTTTTAATTTATATAAAAAAAATACGATAAATTCTAAAATGTTTTGCCATAGTTTGGTAATTATAATAAAAAATAAAATTGTATTATTGAATTTGAAATTAAATTTTAAACAAATTATGTTATATTATTATTTAAAATATAATACTCACATTTTCAGTAGTAGACACAGTAGTAGTAGTAGTAGATAGGAGTAGTATTATAGAAATCTTGTTTTCTTGCCGTACTTGTATGAATGTTTTTGACAGAAGCCTCAGACCGTACTGTTCTACAGTAGCACGTTGGCATCTGTAGCATCTCCCCTTCTCGGTTAGCAATAATAACTCTTTCATCACACTTGGGGGGCCACTACACATGCGGTACATCGATGAAACCTTCAACATGCCGCCGGTAGATTTGAACTCCTACCAAGAAGAAACAAAACAGAAAAAATCTATTATAATAATAATAATAATAATTTGAATGCCAAACATTAATCATATGACAATTATGTCGATGAACAGTCATTGTTCCACATGCCAAATGCATTTGGCTGCCTTTGAGTTTTAAATTAATTTATTAGTTATTATATTAAGCATTACTTTACGCATTACATATTACATAATGTAATATTTTAGAATAAAATACACAAAACGTTTCCATATGTGACAATAAAGCAGAAACGACTATATTTTACTTCTATTTATGGTAATATTTATAACTACGAGTATATGGTTATTGGAATATGGTCTGATATATAATATATTATATTAAAAGTTATACAATATAGACTTGAATCGAAAATAATGTTCAAAATCTATAATCTTTTAGTTGTAATGATAGTTTTGTTATAATACTATTATTTTAATGCATTATTTAAATATTTCAATCAATAAAATAGATTTAGAATATCAATAAATATTTAAAACATCTGGCACAGCTACTAACGATTAGGGATGTCAATTATTTATCACATTTAATGTGGACATTTGAGTACTATACAATACAATTTCTATACATAATATTAAATTGTAATGTATTGTAAGATATATTCAATTATTAATTAAAACTATAGATTAATTTACCATATTTAAAAAAAATGAGTTGAACATTTTTTATTTGAATCTAAAACATGTTTTGACATCATTCAATATAAAACAATTATAAATAAGAAAATAATTTGATGACAGTTAAAAGAATGCTTATGACTGTTCATCTATATTTTAACATTTTTTTTTGTTATTCATGGAATGCTAAAGTTTAAATTAATAAAAAAATCTCTAACATAAATATTAAAATGGTGGAACACAAGAAAATCCATGAAAATGGCAGTAGAACAATATTAAAAGAACATTTTAATTTGATTTATTGTAGAACAGAAATAAATAGATTCTACAATTGCCAAATTTCAAAAATCTCTGTATATAAAATCTTCACACATATATATAATTTAATAATATATTTATAATAATAAAAACAATACTCTTAATGACCTCGAAAATAAAAAAGTGTTGCCCACATATTAAAGATTTAGTTTAAAAGTTTTAAAATTAGTTATGAATTCCATGTGACACTGAGTAAGACAAATATAATGAGTCATTTACTTGTGGGAGGTAAATTGTTAAAGCTACATAATAAAAACTATTTAAAGAATTTACTATTTTTATTTTGACTATTTACTATTTATTCATACTTAATAGCTGTAATTTAAATCTAAGACAACTAATAATGTTTTTACAGGACAACACGGGGTAACTTATAAACTTGGTACATTTGACGATAAAGGTGTAGTGGATAGTATACAACTAAATCAAGGGTTAGGAAAAACAAAAGAAATAGGTCCTCAATTTTCTATAAAAAATATTAAAAGTGATAAAAAAGGATTACAAAAAAATAATGATTTATTGCCATGGCGAAGAGGAATCGTAATAGACAGAATCAGAAAAACCTCAGTAGAAGCGAAAAGCATAATTACTGAGAATGTACTTATTGAACCTACAGAAATTGGTGATTTAATCACAGTTAAACAAGAAGGTAGATTCATATATACATACGTTACAGAACAGATATTTACCTTAATACAAAATAAAATTGATACTAAAGATGTAGAAAAAGCAAAACAAATAATAAATCAAGTTTTAGTAAAAAAAATGAAACAAGGTGATATCGTGACATTAAACGAAAATGACAAAAAAGAAATAGTTGGCGAGGTAACAAATAAGTTAACTCAGTTATATACAAAGAAAGTCGATAACAAATTGTTTGCGAAAGATATATTGAACAAAGTTTTAACACGAACTATGGAAAAGGAACAAAAAACTCAACCATATACATCAGAACAACAAAGGAATGATGAAACATTCGTAACATCAACAGAAATGATTTTCAAAAATAAAAACACATCACAAAAGGAAAACTCACAACTATCAGGAGAAATGATAGAACCTAAAAAACTGAAAACAATAAAACAAGTAACACAATCCGAAGATATACTTCTTCCCAATCAAAAAAATCAAAGTAAATTTTATTTCGGAGAACAGCCAACTGAGAATTATGAAATCGTTCCAGACGAATACAAACCCAAATTAAAAATTGGAAGTACTGCAGATATTGAAACCGAAGGGCAAATAAATGAACAACAAAATGACAATACGCGTCAATGGCTAATCAAAGAAAAAATCGATAAAACCGATCAGCAAGAAAGAAAACTAACAGTACCATGGCGTGAAGAAACTGTTACTCTTAAGAAAACAAAAACTGAAAAGAAGCCGATTTCCAAAGAATCCGTTGAAAAGGTTACTCTTAAACCTTTCAAGAAGCCATTGGTGGATGATGTTCCTGTAACCGAAGAAACACCGGAAATTGAGGCTACTGAAGTAGTGGAAACAGTCCTCGAGAAAGGCGATAGAAACGTCAGGAAAACCAAAACTGTGGTCAAAGATGAGGAAATTGCTACCGACGCAGTAAACAAGAAAGACAAACCTACTATTGAGAAAGTCAAGGAGTCCCCGCTTGAAGAATTCCCAACTGAACAGAAAAGAAAACCATTAGTTCCATGGCGAGAAGAGACTGTTACTCTTAAGAAAACTAAAACTGAAAAGAAGCCAATTTCCAAAGAATCCGTTGAAAAGGTGACTCTTAAACCTTTCAAGATGCCTGTGGTGGACGACGTTCCTGTAACCGAAGATACACAGGAAATT